CAGGACAGCTCGGGCTGCAGCAGAGCAGGTACGCGCTGCGTACAGCACAGACACGAGCTTTATCTGGTCTATGAGATCCGTAACCTTCTGGGGACAGGGACATGCCTGTGACACACTGATATCTGGTGCCATGATACAAAGGAGCATCGAGCTGGGATGCTCCGGGCACTCCTGGCATACAATTAACCCACACCCAGTTTCCCAGGCAAACTGGTGTTTGCAGAGGAGACCTTCATCGTCACACTGTGCATGCATTTGTTTTCCCGCCGTGCTAAGCTGTCTGACCCTCAGACCTTTGGGAAATCCCTGCTGTGGAGGCGTTTGCAAGTGCTGTACGGTTACATCGCTCACTCCTCCTCTCCTGCACACTTTGCCATCCACCCTCCCTTCACTGCACCAGGCTGACGCAGCCTCAGCCCTTCACATTCTGCCTTTCCCAGCCCTGATGCCCAGGCACAGTGGCCCAAAGGCTGCCACCATCCTCCGAGGCAGCTGGATCATACGAGGGAATCTGTCCTGTTAAATCATTGAGATGTTTCCTGCTGCATCAGGCTGAGCCTGCACACACTCAGGAGTCTCCTTGAGAAATGACAGGTGATTTGCTCCATGTTTGATGTGCATTAAACTCATCTCCATTCCTGTGCTCAGAATTATTGATTAGTCTAAGAGCTGTACCCCCGCTGGTTTGGCATTTCATATCTATGTACCAGAGAAAGGCACATTGATTTTGCTATTATCAAAATCCTCTTGTATTTGCACAGTCTTTTCTCTTCCTGCAATTTTCTAATTCCTTCTGGAAAACACGTTACACATTGTCAAGATCAAACTCCTGAGACATCTTGTTTAAATCAAGGGATTCTTAGCACCTTCTGTTTCTTTTGAGCATCCATCTGTGCAGTACCAACAAATCAGAGAGCTACTGGGGTGGGGGGTGGTAAAGGCATCAATGAAGACCTCCGTCTACAGCCACAGTTGCAGTTATCATACATTATTACAGTGCATTACACTGATTAAGCGTATTAGCAAATACCATCTTCTAGGAACATGTTAGAGAAACTTCTAATAGACCAGAGCCTGAAAATAACAACAAAGTTCACATTTGCAGCCCACCTATAAGAAAACATAACCATCTATAATACCCTTTCTTACCTTATAGCTCTCCAAAGAAGCATAAACTTCTCCTTACTGTCCTACAAATTATCACCTGGACTTGTCCTGAGATAAGGGTGACAACCAAGGTTTTTATTAGGGTGACCTATGTCCTGGCTAAGCACCCATGCAGATCTGAGTCCCACTTGCCACACAACCAGGAGAATTTATTTTGTGTCACCCTCTCACTCCAAGACTTTGTAAGACTTTTTTTAAAAAGTGACCAAATTTCCTCAGGAAGGGATTGTGGGCAAGAGGATGCAGATGAGCCTGAGCTTCAGCTGGGTTTTCTCCAGCTCGGCTGCAGAGCTTTTCCTCCAGCCCCTCAGGCTTATAGGTGCATCTTGCTCAGTCAGCTGTGCACCCGCAAACCCAAAACACCTTGCTTCACCTTTCCTAATAAGCATGTAATCAAATTAATGCAGCAACTCATTATATGTGGTGGTGCCCTGTCCTGAAATGGCTTCTCTGCTAACCCAGTGTCTGGAAATAAACACTGAAACTCCTACAGTTTGGTGTGATATCATCATTATTCTATAGCATATCTGCAATATAAATATTAATACAATATTAAAAATTAATGCACATATTTCTATTAATAATTAATAATATTACTCCAATATTAATAAAATTAAACCAAACATTGCCACAGATCTCCTAAGTGGAGTGAATAAAGGAAAGTGTTTAAACGAGGCTCTCAAAAAACCACGCATAGTGGAGAATGGGACATCTCCCTTTCATGAAGATGTTTTCCAGGGCTGAAGAGGGTTCCTTTTTCTCGTCTGATTTCTCCTGCGAGGGCCTACCCCCTTCTCTTCCTCCCAGGTGGGTGAAGAAGCTGTTCCTGGCCTGGGATTATTGCCAGGGTGATGCTGAGGCAAACTGAGCTGCGCAGGGGGCTGCAGAAAACCTTTCGTGGTGGTTCAAGGTCAGCCACCTTTTTCCATCGGTCACACTGAGCCCAGTCAAGTCAAGTTAAGCTTTTTTGAGGGGCATGCCTGGCCATTTACGCTTAGAAATACTTCTTGTGGTCACTGGTTTATGCATTATCATTGTAAAGCAAAGGGAAAGGGCTTTTTCCCCCCCTCCTCTTTCGCTGCAGAAAGAAATTAAAGGCACTTTGCAGGTGTGCTTGGGTTAGGATATGTCCCCTAGGATGGGAGAAAAGATAATTGATTAGGACAGAGTTTAGGGAAGAATTGGGATGCAAATCTTAATCATCCTTCCAAAATGATCTCTCAAATCGACTAACCCTCATTGTGAGTGTCAATTAATGAGAATTAAATTGCTAAAAGGGAAATCGTAACAACTATTGCCAAGTGAATATAGCGGGGATGTAGGACAGGGAGGTTTTGCCTTTAGCTCTGCTATGCCAGCAGAGAAGGTGTGGAGAAGCCCCTCAAGGCCAAGCACAGGAGAACGTCTCTCTCAAAGCAGCACCTTCCTCATGCCCTGTCCAGGAGTGCCTGCAGGACATGAGTACTTCCAGCTCCTTCCTAAAGATGGTGTGAACTTTGAACTCATGTAATTGGGGCTGTTCTCATTACCCAGATAAATGCCTGCTCCCGCGAGTTAATTGGCACAAATTACAACTGCAAAGTCGCTCTGCTCTCGTCTGATAAACTCTCCTGGGAGTTCAGTTTGGCAGGTCTAAGGCAGTCATCGGATATAATTGTCCACTCACAATGATATAAACCAGGACTATTACCTTCAGTGGAGTCACTGGTGATTTATGCCAGTGAGAGATGAGAAGCAGGGCTGGTGTTTCCTGCTATGGTTCATCGTTTCGAGCACCATGACAATGTGCTTTGGTAAAAATGAATGGAACAAGAGGTGGGACACGTACACATGTGGGCTGCTTCTGTTTTCCTTCTCGATTTTCCCTTTGGGTGTAAATTGAGGTATTAAGCTAATTTTATACTGATAGACATGGACAGAAAAGCAACCCCCAGACTCCCAATGTGTTTGTCCTCTGCAGACTCAGACTGCACAGGTGCACAGGGTGTTTGGGGAGCCCTACTATTAAGTGAGAGTGACAGGATCAGGTTTTGGATTTGTTTTTAAAACCAGGTTACAGGAATTTCTGCAGTGCTCGCAGGTCACTGTATTAGCATGGGAAGGGGCTGGTCTTCCACCAGCACAGCCCAGCCCTTTGGGTTAGCGATGAGCCCCTCTAAGGCTTCGCATTATTACAGGCACTTTGTAGCTGATTGCATTAAAGCAAACCACGTATAAAATTACCATTTGGTGGCACCTCAGACTTACTTTTTTTTTTTTTCTCCTTACAGGATCTGAACCTGCTGTCGCTTGCACAACTGCTGTATCGCCACTGCAAAGGGTGAAGCAAATTATATAGGCTTTGGAGCAGAAGACCTGGGGTCGGGGTGTTTAGAGTTGGGAGGATGCAACTGTATCTCTCAAGACACTTATTCTTCTAACATGTGCAGGATCTGCAAGGATCTGGCACAGGGAGGCTGCAGAGCCCAGTGGAAGGTACCTTGTAAACTCACTGGGACGTTTCTCATCTTCTCTAGTAGAGGTGTTTGCTTTAATACAAGTGTGCTAACTTCTCTCAAACCCCTCATCGTCATCAGCAGCAAAGGACCGATTGTTGAATGATGAATGACTTCACTTTTCCAGTTCCAGCTTATGTTTGCACGTCTGAGAGCAAGAAACGTGTGAAACTCACACAAACTATTGGAATTCTAGCTCCGGGGACTGACAAGTAAACATGGAGCTACCTGGTATTTCATAGAAAACCCACAAATTATATGTTGGCTGGGTTAAAGTTGATCCTTTGAGGATCTCGTGCCAAGAAAAAACTCATATTAACTACACCAAGATTCCTCCATCGTCTAAGACTGCAGCTTGGTTGAGGAATTCATGCCTTGTAAACTGCTGAGTTTCCCTAAAAGCAGCCAGAGGCATGTAATATTTTGCTAAGCTATCTGTAAGGAGTTCTGCTAGCTTGGGTGAATCGAGTACCTGATAACAGATCACACTGAATAAAAATGGAAAGCCACAATGACAAAATAATGTTATAATATTAAAATAAATCAAATCATGTACTGCCATTATTCTGATACAGAATTTTTACACAGCAAATTCGATACATATACAAGTCAGGCAGCCCATTACAATAAACTTCAGGGTTCCTTTTTTTAATATAAACTACATCTTAATACATAGTTTGAGATGATCGGGTATTTTCACACCAAGTCAAGTAACAACTTCTTCTCATCTTAGAAGATTAAAATAACAAAATCTTTTAATGCTTTGAATATTGAAATGCTTTGGTTCCACCTGCCACTTTTTTTAAAAGTGTAAAAACTACATCTATTGGTTAAACTTTCACCCTAGAGATGTGCCTAACTTATAAATACAGTTATATTAATAAAGATACGAAATGTAATGTAAATACAGTTTTTTGCCAATCGCCATATGCTTCACACTATGCAATTATTCAACTCTCAGTCCGATTCAGGCATTCCGAAGTGTAAAAACATGGCCAAAGCTTTCCAAAACTGACAATAATCTTGGATATTTTCATTCTGAGGTTAAGCTGGAACCATGAAGACCATGAGACGGTTCAGAAATCGTTACGCTCCTGCCCTCAGAAAGCAATTCTGCTTTAGCAGATGCCGTTTCGCTCACCCCAAAATGAAAGCATCTGCCACCACGAGTCCCTCCTGAAAACCTTGGCCACTACAGCACAGTATCTGATTTTCGGTCTTGATGTTGGTGAGGCAGGAAAGGATGGTAAAGGGTTTCCCCCAGCAAGTATCTTGTTCGTCACAATAACAAGAAAAAGAATACATTGAGTGGCTCTTTCTAGCGCAGAATAGCTCCTGCTAAAAAAAGACATCTTCTTTTCTGAAGTCTGGTAAACATTTGAATTTGCTGGGAGAAGTCCGTACGCAGGCCAGGCTGGGCAGACACGGGCAGGTGTGGTGCATCCGCCGCCCGGAGAAGGGGACCTGGGGACAAAGAGCACAGACGTCAGGGACAGGGAGCACAGCAGCGATGGGATGGATGGATTCGGATGAACAACAGGGATATGGGGAATGCTGCCCACCTCCCTCCATGGCAGGAGATCCCCGGGAACTGCAGTGCCAGGGCTGCATAGCAGCTGGCAAACCCAACCCCATTGCTTCTCCCAGTCAAGCTACAGTTGAGAGCTAAATTTAACAGTCCATCTTGCTGTGTAAATCTACATCTGTGACACATGTTCTCCGTTTACTCCCATTTCATAAAGGAGCCTGTTGTGAAACTACACTGGCCTTTCGCATCACGTTTTGTGGTGTTTGCTGTGCAGGGGTTTCTGCTCGCCCCGGTTCCCGCATTGCCATATGGCACAGAGCAGCCGGTCAGCTGCGTAGCGGGACCCAGGGACCGCAGGATCCCGTGGTAGTTTGGGCTGGAAGGGATCTCTGTGGGTCACCTCACCTGACCTCCCTTTGAGCAGAGTCCCCTTGCCACAGGGCAGAGGTTTCTCATTTCATCCTACCCTCCTCCCGCCACGCCGTGTTGCAGGGAGCCCACATACGGACCGCGTTAAATGAATTTCATTGCGCCATGACGTGCACACGCACTGAGACTCAAAAACAACTTGATCACAAGATCCATCTTTTACCGGATCCAGGCCTCCGCCAGCACGTGAGCTGAGCCGAGTGGGACAGCCTGGTGGGGCAGCATGGCCAGGATGCAGAATGGGAAGCACAGAGCCACTGCAGCCGGCCAGGCAGACAGCCCTAATTCCCTCATTTCCTGATTTCTGGGCATTTTGAGCCTGTGCTTTTATTATTCCAAGATTGCTTTGTGTCAGCGTGTAATTTTTCCCTTTAAGATGGTCAAAGGGATAAAGTCCCACACATTCCCCCGTGCATTGCACCAAGGACCTGCCCGACTCCATGACACCCTACCGGACGCAGGGGGCGAGCCAGGGTCTCCTGCGTCACCTGTGGTGCCCTGGGCCAGCACCAGCCTCCTGCCTAGCACCATCTCAAGAGCATCCCCAGTTCCCCACCCCATGTGCCACAGCCCTGCAAGCAGAGAGGCCACTGATCACAGGTGCCAGGGACTCCCCATGGGAATCACACCTTTTGGGTGCCCACGCACAGCGCTGCAGAAAAACCTAAAACCCGAGCTCCTCAGGCTGGTAGGGCTGACTCAGAGGTACCTCTCAGCCCGCTGACAGCTCAAATGATTTATGCAAAACGTTAACATTCCCTGCAAGGAAAGGTTGCTTTCAGCGGGACTCCCACGCTGAAGACGTGGCTTAATAAGGCACCCGGCTGGGGACAGGCAGCAGGTGACAGCTCTGCAGGACGGGCACTTTGCCAGGGCGTGAAGCTTCTGCCTGCGCAGGCAGAGCCCGTGTGCCCGGAGCTGGCGCTGGCGATGCCAGCTGAGCCGGTGCATGCTTTGCCACACACCAGGTTTTAATGAGCACGAGGTGATGGGAGTTTGTAGGTGAAAAGGAAACAAGGGAGCTCCTGGGAGAGGCATGGGGGGTTACGTGCTGCCAGCTCTGCCTGCTGACCCACCAACCCTCACCTGCCTGGTCCTGCCTGCAAACCCTACCTCTGCAATGCCAACTGAGATTGTTCACGGCATCAAGCCACACCATCTAGTTGCTGTGAAGGAAACTAGAAAGTGGAAACCCAACCACCAATCATCCCCTCCAGGGTATCTCCAAGCCCATCTGGAGGTCTCCAAGGTGGTGGCATGGCCATGGTGGTGCCCGCTTTGTACCCAACCTGCAGGCAAAGGAAAGGTTTCGGTGGTGAGGGCAATTGGTCTCCCAGCTGTCCCCTACCAAAATATTGAGGGGAGAGGAACCATTGAGCAAACTCTCTATCCTCAAAAAATACCTAATTTCTAATAAATCAGTTTGCTTTGTGCTTGTCATGAAGAGCAGTGGGGTAAGGAACCTGAATCTCTAATTAACCTCATCAAGCTTACAAACATCAGTGACTGTGACCATTAAGTCTGGGGTGGACAGGCGTCTTCCCTGATTGTAATTATGTGGGCAATTAGCTTAACACATATCAGACAGTAGAAATTATTGCCCAATAGCAATAAGCTCATAACGAACCTAGAAGTCGATTTCTCCTATCCTGAGACTCCTGCTAATGTAAAGAGCCCTTACAATAAAAACCTGCTACGCTGCATAATAAAAAAAGAGAATTTGGTCCTCAATATCACAGCAGAAGATTTAAAAAATTTAACTGTAAAAGAACAGAGCCTTGCAATTCCTAAAATTGAGAAAATAAACCATAGATGTGAAGCTGAGAAGCCAGGCATTAGATGAGACAGTGAGAGAGGCAGCTACCTAGCTGCACATTTATAATCTGAATTTATTGCCATGATGTCTTCCAATGTGGTGACTCTCAGGCCATGCTCTTCCCTGAGCATGGCTCTGAAGACCACCAGGTTCTCAAGCTCCTTGGTAACATCTCATCCATTCTTTTGTACACAGATTGTATTATTGATAAACAAACAGCCTTTTTCATAGTATGTATAACATACATAATTACATACCCTTAAATAAATGTATTTGTTAATATAATTATATTAATAGTATAGTGTATCATAAAATAATGTACTATAGATGTAATGAGTGTTTTATATATGTGTGTGTATATATGTATACGTACATATATATTCAAAATTAATAGGCAGAATAGAAGCTAAGGGCCTGTGGTGGGTTTTCTCAAGTATAAGCACGTGCCAACACGTTCTCATTGGATTCTGAAAGGACCAGTGGCTCTCAGCCTCTGGACTTGAATTGGACGTTGCTGTCTGATGAGAGAGGGACCGTGCTGCAGTGACGCACCAGGTGTCCCAACACTGGCTGGTGACATTTTTATGCTTGTGATGGGATTTTGTCCAGTTCCACTGAGGTCGGTGGTGTTTTCTACGCTCCTGCTCACCTGCGTAGGCATTGGCAGGGTTGGGCTTGGGAACCGTTAAGGCTGTTTTGGATCATGTAACGAAGCAAAACAGCAACAACAAACTAATAAGAATACAAAGTGAAAAGCTTGTGTTACTTTCATCTTCAGATTCTCTTCAGCATAATTCTGACAGTAATGTATTTCCTTACGTAGGTACCTTCAGCACTATTTGCATACCGATGCAATGCCTGGGTATCGTAACGTGTTTGCACCACGTATAGTTTTTATGCAAGGTGACGTACAGCACAGTATATTTCTGTTTCTTTCTGCCCTGCAAGCTCCGATCTCACAGCCCCCCCAGTGACGTACTCACTCGGTGACTCAAAGGATGGCACTCCTCTCCCAGATTTCCCATCGGCGTGCACATTCGCAGGCTGCGGATCCAGAGGCTGACCGCACAGCACATCCCTCCTCCGCACTGCTGGTCTCGATCGCAGGCCTGGAGTTCAATACAGCAGGAGAAAAAAAAAAAAGAATAACAACTATATTCCAGAAATAGGACAGATCAGGTGTTCAAGAGCTGCTTCTGACACCCCACAAGTTCTCATGGCTCATTAAGGCTGAATAACAAGGTTTAAGGCTGATTCATAATACAGATATCTCCCTTGGATCTCGACATACAGGCTCCTGGCACGTTTCACAGTTGAGCCCAGGATGCTTAAAGCCACGACCACATGTGGAGCTGCTCAGGGCTGAATCCAGGACTGTCAGTGATTTACAGTCCCAGCTTCTGACGAGCGCTGATGGACCGTGGCACATCCCACTGCACTTTTCCCAATCGCAGCCTGAGTGAGCTCAGGCAGGTGCAAGGACCAGTCAGGAATCCCGTCTTACGGCAAAGCTAAGATAGGAAATTATCTGTTAATTTAAAGACTTCTACGGAACTATTCCTTCTAGTTTCTTATGATAATATCTTATGGTTGAGTGCCTTTGCAAATGCAAGACTGCATGATAGTTTTACTAGAGAAGTTCAAGTGCAAGTAGCTAAAATAGAAGTTTAAATAGGGATTCTGTGGTGGTTATCTAGAGTTACATGTAACTACAAGAGGTCTTAAATGTGTCATAGAAGAAGCTTTGCATGAGAGTCCACCACCAAGAAAATGCTACTGTGGCAGCATTCCCCCTGCAAGGCGGGGGGGCGAATATTTCAGCCACTTACCCAAAACAGCTTAAATAAGCACAAACCAAAATGCAAACTACTGGGCATGCTTTAAAAACTAGAAACCACAAAGAGCAATTGACATTTTAGGGTTTGGAAATAGATTACTGCGCCTCTTTTACTTATTTTTTTTTAACCAAAAGCTTATCAGACTTTTTATTATATGACTTTAATGCAAAAACCAGTCTCCTTCCTCTGATGAGAAATCCCATTAGCTAAAGCTTCTGATTACACCCAAAAGGTAAGTTTAATTAACTCACTTCTTTTTTAACGTCTGACAGCAGGAGTGATAGACCAAAGGCACCGGTCAGCAGTACATAAACAGGCAACTTGTGAAAACGCACATAAAAGATGATAATGGCTCTGGGGAAGACTGCGTGTCAGAACAAACATTTGCTTGAGGAAAAAAGCTTACAGATCTTACCTTGGGATTTACATGATAAATGCCATTACACTGTACTCTACTGGGCAAATATTACACCAGGTCAACTGGCAGAAGCTAGATCAAAATAAGTGTTTACAGATCAGCTAGTAATTTAGGATAACGCGATTGCTTTAGCGCCAAGCCACTACATCATGTGTGTAACCCAAATGGTTAGCTCTCCTCAACACACATTTAATGAAGCAGACAGCTCTATGCTACAGATGAGCCCAAACACACAGAGTATTTACTTGTAAGACTAATATGGCCATAAAACTACCACTACAGCCTGCCAGGTAGATAACGTTTACTTCCTAAGCACTCTCTCTCTCGCTCAAAAAAACAAGCAAAAGAAAAAAAAAAATCTGCCAGTCCAGTGATTTTGGCTGCCACCAGCGTGCCACATCCACTGCTCAGCTGGAGTCACAGCCTCTGCTATTCCTCGCCAGTCAGCTCCTGGCTCCCTTTTCATCTCAGTTGTATCTCAAACCCCATTCATCTCCCTGGGACTGGTCCCGGAGTGCAGTACCACTCAGCCACAAAACAGGTTTGAGTATGTCTAGCAGGAAAGGGTATCCAAAACACTGTGCTGAACCATTTCTTTTTAAAACACACACACATACATACATCTGGCAGAACTTTTAAGACCCTCCTTCCAAAAATGTATGACAAGTTTTGAAAATATTCAACCCAAATGCTCCTGCCCAGACCTTATCTTCAATGTGTTATTCATACCAATACTGCTAATATTCACAGTACACAACATGAAGGACAATCCCTTCAGCATCCCATTTAAACGTGGGTTTGTAGAAAATTCAGCTCGAGAAAAGAGTTCCAGGTGAAATGCCGGCTCAAAGCCAACTGAAGTCACCCAATCAACCAGCACTGATGTGAGGAAGGTTTGAATCAAGTCCTTAAATTGCAAAGGAAAAGCACCTTTCAGGCTCAGAGGATGAGGACAGGAACACCTACGTCAGCTCTCGTCTGAGATTTGTCTGTTCATCGGAAGCCAAAAATGCATCGAAGTGGTTTAAGCAGAAACGCACCGCAATAGTTAATAAAATAACATTTTCTAGTTCTAATCTATTTTTACTTTTAGAATCTGCTTTGTCCTTAATCTATTATTAATCACTTCACAATTACTTTATTTAATGGATTAGTTATGCTCTAAAGGTGTAGCCACAACTTGAATAATAGACATATAAACTGGTCCTCCGTTGCTGGAAATATTTCTACTTAAAAAGGACTTGAAATTCTCAAATTAAAAAATTCTTGCACACTCTCTGCTCTGAAAATTAATGAGTCTTGGGAACTGATCTGACCTCCAGAGAAATGCCTACAAGCTGTTTCATGGACTTCAGTGAAGTCCGAACAGGGAGCCTGGATGGCCACGGAGTAATCCAGTGCCACGAGTACTTCTGCTGGTGACAGAAGACATGTGAGCTCTTGAAGGAATGCAAGTGCTAGGTTATTAATCCAAAGCAAATACTAAAAAAATCATTTTACTTAAGAATGATGCAACGCTTTGGGTTAAATAACATCTTCGGAAGAAAAATATTTTCACAACCAAAGTAAACTCAAGTCTAAAAACAACAACAACAGCAGAGGACTCATTTGTGAAGGGTGGCTATTGCGGGGAAAAAGCAGCACAGTCATACTTAAAAAAAAAAATAAATAAAATAAAGCAGCGTTTTGCGATGATTGCAATATAGCGGTGCTGCCCTGTAAGCTGTGGGATGGGAGGAACTGGAGGAACTTGGGGTGCACAAGCAGGAGGTGCGGTGCCCCAAGCCAGGCCCTCCCGGGGCAGGTTTGGGGACAGCCGGGGCTGTGGTCTGCATTGGGGGGCGAGGGTGGAAGCAGCCTCCAGCCCTGGAGGGGCAGCGAGAGCCTCTGCACACACAGGGACCAGCCTGGAGACACCCTGCGCCGAGTCCAGGCATCCCCCAGCCCAAAGGGACAGTGCCCACACCGCGGCACCCCCACCCCAGAGACCCGCAAGTCCTGGTATCAGCCATCGCAGAGACACCCCCATGTCCTGGCATCGCCCACCCTAGAGCGACCCCCAAGCTCCGGTGTCGGTTAGTCCAGAGAGACACCCAGCTCAGGGCGTCCCTCGGCCCAGACAGACCCCACGTCCTGGTATCGCTTATCCCAGACAGACGTCCCAAGCCCCGGCATCTCTCACCCCCTGGCACAGCCCTCCCTTCCTTCCCCATCCTGGTTACCACTCCA